ATTCCTGTCTTCCAATCCCACCTGCCAGAACTCACTAACTAGGAATGAAATCCTCACATATATAGGGAGAGTACAGGATTTCACTTGAACATTTCAAGCATATACTTTTAAAAAGTAAATCTTAAACAAGTACAAATTCAATATGTACTAGTGCCTACTATGTGCCAGATGGTGTGCTAGATTCCAAGGATAATGTAGGAAACATCCTGAAGCTAAGAAGTAGGAATATTTTTAAATTTTGTTTATAAAATTATGAAGACTAATTTTGTTCATACACACTTCTGAAGATTTTATATTTAGTGCTGTTTTTACACATCTTCTTAACTATTGACAACTATATTATTTCATGTTATATTCAACCATATTATTTCATAAGTCATATGACTGTCAATAAGCATTTAAGTTAAATGTTAATTTCTTAGCACATTCAGAACACTACCTTACAGATATAAACACTCAAAGTGTTTATTAAATACTAAATATTTACAATATGCCAGGTACTTACTGCTTTTCACCCACTTTATCAAAGAAAAATATAACTTTTATATGGGCTTTGCAGAACTGCAGAAACCTTATACATAATATAGACATGTACATCATTTGCATGAGTCTTAGAAGTAAAAAAAAAAAAAAAATGGCAGCCAAGGACTGTGGCCAAGAATTTTGTCAGGCACAAAAATAACCAACAGGAGATGTCAAAGAAAAATCCAGATGTCTCTTTTGTCAGAAGAATCTTAAAAGTCTACGAAACCAAAACCTGTATTTCCTTACTGCTGCAATGGGATGGGGTGGAGCACCACTCACAGGGCACAATCTAATTCACCATAGATCCTTCCGCCTGGCCCGGGCGCACCTGTGAGTGTGGGGCCAGGATCTGATAAGACGTACAGAACCAAAACCACCAGCACTGTGAAGAAAGACGCTGAGCGTGACTGCTGTGATAAAAACATTACTGACAAAACTGAAAAAATGGGGAGTCTTGCCCCTCTGGTCCTAATAAACTCCAGCTTTAAGAGGACATATATTTTTAGATTTAGAGTATTTAAATGGTTATCTAATTTGCATAACACAGTTTAACATTTGTGCACTAGAGTTTTCTGTTTATATATGTATTATGTTTTAATGGGGAAGGAAAGTTTACTTCATCTGGCAAACCATGATAACTACGATGCAGAGTTAATTGGTAAGGAATTTAAGATGATTATTCTTTTAAGGTTTAAAAGAACCTTCTGAAGCCTTTTAATCTACCTCCTTCAGTCTCTTCCAAATCACCCCAGGCATAAAAATCTATGTATGTTAAAGACAGAATATGGAATTTTCTATAACTCCCTCATGTAATCTATGCCAATGTTTACAAGCCCCATAGTCATGAGATTCTAGACAAACGTTCATGCTTAACTATGCATTCTTCAGCTTTCAAACCACTATATGTGTAAAGACAACCAGAAGCTTATATTTTGGCCTTCTTAAGGCAAAGAATTATAATTTCTACCAATATTTCTTCTGTCCATTCAACTAATGCACATTAGGTGCTTTCCAAACACGGGGCACCCAGTTCATACTGAACACCCCACAATTTCATATAATCTTCATAACATCTCTAGGGAAAAACATTACTGTCTCCATTTCTAAATGCAAAAACAGGTTGCTGAACTAGCCCAAAGTTACTCAGCCAGTATGAGTTAACATTCAATTCCATATAACTTACGTTTCTAGTACTCAGTCATCTGATTTTATACTTGTTTATTCATCTTCACATTTTCACGGGGTTATAAAAGAATGCGTTCCAGTCCTAGTGATTCTATCATTTTCTAGATGACATTCACATCTCTGGATTTCTATACCTCAGCTGGAAATAAGGAGGCTAGCGTAGATAATTTCTATTGTTCCTTACAAATCTATGAAATCTGTTATCGCAATGTCCTCATTAAGCTCGCTGGCCTAAAACCTCAGAATGAAATGGGAGGGAAAAAAAGCGCTTAGCTGAGATAGCAACTATCATATGAAGGGTTTTGCTGCCCGGACACCTGCAAATGGCGGTTGCCAGAGAGTTGGGCAAGTTTCTAGGACATTGAACCTCCAAAGAATGAAGTCCTTTCCCAGAGCATGAGGGACTTCATTCATTCTACTCTTGGGAGTTTCTTTGCAATTCGCATTTCTCATTTTCTTAAGCAGCAATTATATGAGTAGAGTTGCCACAACATACCCAGTTGTGTTTTAAATCCACATAAACAAAGATTAAATTTTAAATCCAGATAAACAAAGAATAACTTTCTATAATAAGTATGCTCCCAATACTGTATGAGACATTTGTAGTAAGGAACTTTATCAGCAACTCTGCCCTTGAATCCATGCTTAGAGAACTGAAAATTTCCCAGATCTTGAGAAGCTCCTAAAAGCAAGTCCTAAATTGACATACCAAAATGATATCCTAATTTAAAGGTGAATAACTGTGTAGAAACTTCATTTCTTTAATTCGACCTTTTCTCCTTTCTTTGCTTTTGACCCCTACTGGCCTCTCCCAGCACCCTGACCCACCTGACTCCCTCTCTTCCAGGACCACCCCCCTACTCATTACATCCTCAGGACAAGGTCCTGGTCAGCATCAAATAATCCACGGCTGACATCAAGACCAGATGCACTGATCAACTACCCTACCCTCTACCCTTGCACCAACCAATCGATAGAGACCACGACCCTAACTCCCTTAGTCACCATGATTAATAATTTTTCCCTATATACTCTATCCCCTGGAAGCCTGCGGGGAGCCAGGTCTTTGAGCATTAGCTCACCTTTGTCTCCAGGGGTGGGCCACTTCTGAAAAATAAACCTTTGCTTTCTTTGCTGCAAACTCCTGTTTGTGTTTTATTGGGCTTTCATGTGCAGGCAAATGGACCCCTTTAGACTGGTAACAAGGGTAAAATGGAAATTCTTTATAAGAAACAACATTTTATAGGTTTTCAAAGCAGGAGTCTGGATCTTCAAATAGGTCATGTTAAAAAAAAAAAATTGAGTAAATGTGAAGATCAAACTGGGTTTATTGAACGATTCATGAAGCATCCCATCTAGCTAACAAAAAGGAGCTCCAAAGGCCTGTACCAAATGGAAGGCTTGTACAGGTAGAAGGTGGAAGGAAGGAGAGTGGGACTAATCTCACAATGGGGGAAAGATAGTGTCTATGTGGCAGATTACCCCGGCATTGCGAACCAGGTAATTCCTAGTTAAAGGTCACATTCTTGAGAATATGAAATTACAATTAAATCTTGATTTACGGAGGTGGGCTTACCACAGGTGATTCCATTATGAGCCTTTTTTTTTTTTTTTTTTTAACAATCCCAGCCTCCATATGGTAAGAACCATGATTGAAATTTATTCTATTTGTATGTTGAGTAAAACAAGAAAGCTTGCTATTGTTAATGATATGGTTTTAAGAGAAAAGAAAAAGATTATCCTCCCTATTCTCCATGAAAAAATAATTAAAACTGATTTGAAATTAAGAGCTTGAGTCTCAAACCATATGTTGTATTCAAGCGCAAACTCTAACCAGAGTTTTCTTTTAAAGTTTCAGCATGTAATTGAAATCACAAAAGAATGTCATTAAGCACTTGATACTTGAGTTCTAACTGAAAAGGTTATGCTTCCCTGCAGAGAAGCATAGCACTAATTACTCTGTCTACCAAATGGAAAAAAAAAAAGTCATTAAAAAAAAAGTTTCTATTTCCTTTCATTTTTAAATTAATTTTAATTTTTCCTCAATTCAATTTTAAGTAAAACTGGGAATGGGCAGTGGGGGCGTGAGTTAGTCAAAACTAGAAAACTTGATAGCTTTCTCAAGGCAATTATCCAAAGGTATAACTCCTTGCTGAAGTGTCTAAAAGGAAGGGAGAGCTGGCCTAAAACAAGGCTGAAGTTTGCAAACTTTGGTCAAGTTCAGTCTGTGTACTTAAAGTCAAAGTAAGGGAATTTACCGTGAGTTAGGAAGGATGGGGAGATAGGAAGAACGCAGTTTCTCAAGGTGCCCCAGTCCAGAGGTCCCCAACCTCCGCTGTTTGGACTGGTACTGGTCCGTGGTGGCATGTGAGGAAGCTGGCCACACGGCAGGAGATGAGCTTGAACACAATGCACTTGAATCATGTGGAAACCATCCCCACCAACCCAGTCAGTGGAAAAATTATCTTCCACGAAACCGGTCCCTGGTACCAAAAAAATTGGGGACCACAGCAGTCCACCCAGTGCTTCCCATTAAACACTCTAGCAGAAAACTCTTCAGTTCCCTTTAAGTGTATAAGATCCCTATGTGCTTCTGTGACCTTCCAACAGCACTGCATTTGAAACCACTAAGGGAATTCAGAAGAACAAGTATTAAGCCTTGAAGCAAAGGTCATAAGTTGGCCTCAAGACAAAACTTACAATAACCATTTTCTCTTTTGACCCTCCTATTCTTATGTAGTACAAAAAGGAAAAGAAGAGTATCATTCAATGTTTAAGAATCTGCGTTCCTTGTGCACTACAGAGAAGGGCTGTTTTCTCTAATCTACTCAACTCAGGTAATATTAACAAACGACAAAGGATCTCCCCTCTGTAGTCTAGCAGCTGGCTCTGTTTTCAGCTGTGATATGTTTACAAATACACATTATGATGTATAGACAATGTACAGGATTAGAGAATTGGAGCAGAAATAAGGAATTAATAAAAATAAATAAGTTATAAAGATGCATGACCTTTACAAGGCAAAATTATCCTTCTACACCCCCCTGGAAATCATGAAAAATAAGTGAAGAAACCCAAGATATAAAACAATCAGTGACTGAAACTCAGGTTAGAAGGGAAAGGTCAGAAAGAACATTTCCACGTACTGAAGATCAAAATGTAACTTATATTAAATTCTCTTTGAAGAGGACAAATTTGCCTTTTAAATGGTGGAAAAAGACCAAGCAAGAGTAATCTCTGACTAAAAGATTACTCAGAAATGCAATATTTGAGTACCGACAATCACTTACTTTGTAAATGGTAGGTAGGATCTGTTTCATTTTTAGCCTGTGAAAGACGAAGACATCATAAACTGCTGAGACTGCAAGAACAGTCACTCCTTGTTCCTTCCACAACATGCTGCATCCTGCGCACAGTCCTGTCCCCAGGAACCAGCCCCAAGTCCTGGCTGAGTAGCCTCTTGTGGAACAGTGTTTAACGTAGCAGAGCAAGGAGAGGAGAAAGAAGAGACTAGCTCCAACATCGGCCCGCCCCACGATTCCTGCCACCGCCTCCGTGTGAATGGGGTGAGAAGCGAACATCAAGCCCGCCATGAAGGTCCAGTATCCATCCCCAAGGAGAATCTTGGAGAAGCTTGTGAAGAGACCGGTGACAGCCGCATGCAGTAGGATATTGACAAGATGGTAACTCCAGGGATCCAGCCCTCCAATGGCATGGTTCAGGCGAAAAGAAAGCGTGCAGAGTGGCCGGTAGGACTTGTGGCTGCCACTGTGGGTTAGAAGAGTCCCCCAAAAATCATTGTAGAAAATGTGCGTCCATGGTGTTTCTGGGAGTAGATCCTGATTAGTCTTGATAGCACGGCTAAAAAACAAAATGTTAAAAAAAGAAAATCAAATGAAAATTACAGAAAAGAAAAACAAAAAGAAAATATGTGACATTGCTAAGATACTGCCCTTCTCCTTAGTTTTGTCATCATGAGAATTTATGCCAAGATTCCAGGGATGCACAATTAACTCAAATGAGCTCTACATACAGATTGAACTGAGATCCTCCCCCTTAATGCTTACTAACACTGCAATTAGGATCGTATTTCTTTTCCTCAAAAGCTTTCTTCCTTGTTTGAATGCAAATATGTTTAAAGAATAAATGCAGAGGTCCTACCATTGGTTTAAGCCTCAATGCAGAGGTTGCTAAACAACTGTGCTAAAAATCACATGGCATACTGAAAAAAATGCAGATTCTAGGTCCCTGGTTGATGTGAGGCCTGAGAATATGCATTTTAAAAAGCAGGGCCCCAGGTGATACGGGTTCAGGGATACATTTAGAGCAAGAACTAGCCTCCTACTAGAAATAAATTTTAAATAGAATATTTGGGCCCAGAGCAATGCTTCTCAAATATACATATCATCTGGGAATCTAATTAAGAGGCAGGTTCTGATTCTGTACATCTGGGGAAGAGCCCAACGTTCCACATTTCTAACAAATCCCCAAGTAAAGCTGATGCTGCTGGTCGATGGACCACAATTTGAGTAAGAAGGACCTACAGAGCTGGAGAAATGAGTAAGAATGGCTCTCCATCTTCCTTCCTCCTGCATTCCCATAACCTTCAGCCTTTACCCCTTCCAAGCTTTCTTAGCAACAGTGTCATCTATACCAAGTACCACAATGATGGCACTTCATTGTCTCCTACTTTTAAGGATTATCAGCCCTAGATTTCCAGACTTTAAGGAGGAATGACCTAATATTTGCTGAGCACTTGCTATCTGCCAAGCACCCTACTGGTTTCCTTGGCTATATCTTTTTGGTTAATTCTTAGAATAACTGACGAGGTAGATATTATTATCTACATCTCTCAGATGAGCAAATTACGATCGAGAAAGTTAAATAAATAACGAGTCCAAAGACACACAAATCATAAAAAGCAGGGTCCAGTTTTGTGACCCATGGTCTTTCCACTATGATGGGTTTCTCAAAATGTGATCCATGTACCACTGGGAGCGTGTGAGAAAATACACCAATAATCCTTGTAAAACTTATGACAGCTGTGTTTGTTGAAAATTTTGAAACAAAATTTAATTATATCAAAGTTGGATTTCATAGATATTTGCTCACGCTGAAGCTGTTAAAAAATAAAAAGTCAATGTAAAGACAAATATTAAGGACACTAGTACTGGTATATGCAGGTAAGGTAAAATTGTTAAAGGTAGCACGTAAATGACTCAGCTTGGAGAATTCCTGCTCTACAGCATTATACCTGCCAGAGAACAGGGTGGTATCTTGAGTCTTTTTTATCTCTAGTGTACCTATCTCTGTACTTACAGGGAGAAAAAGAGGCACATGAGTCAGAAGAAAGGAGGAATGAGACAGTTAAAGAACCTGCTCCGTAACTAAATATCTCTTGCCTAGTCTGATGTCAAGGTTTTCTAAGGGAGTGTGGGCATGTGTGTAGCTAAGAACATGTGGTAGATGGCCACCCTGATGACCTTGACCTCTAGCATCTCCACCAGCTCTGCCTTCCACTGTGAGGAAGCTATGATTAAAGAAATTTCCACATGAATGTTACCAAAAATCAGGTTGCAAAGACCCTAGATTGATGAGAAACATTCCTGAATCCCAGCTCTGTAATTTACTAAGTGTCTTTTTAAAAAAAGAAAAAAAAAGAACATGGAACAGAGATTCAAACATATTTTTTTTAAACCCATCCTCAGTGACAGAGCCAACAAAGGTTTAGTATTTCATTTGGGATCAATGACTGAGCAATGCTGGTTTTCAACTGCTTCTCTAAACGGCTTCCCAATTAACCTCTCTGAGCTTCAATGTCTGTGATAATAACAGTTTTATCTTCATTTAACAAACACTTATAATAGTTCATTGTATAATTTATGTAGAGAAGCAGAGAACACTGCTTTGCAGTTACATGAGTGTTCTGGAGATGTAGTACAAATGACATCTCAGTCTTGTTAGCAGCTGTTGTTTTTATTCTACAAAGACTGGGGTACAATTTACAAAAAGTCCCTTATTAAAGTCTGCTTAACCCACAATCTCTGATATTGGGTGCACTTGGGGGTTAGAATGAAAACAGACTGATCAATAGTTGATAGCTGTCTGTTCTGAGAAACACCAAACTACTCCTTTTCTATCTACTTATGAGAACTAGTTGATTTTTCTAGATACTCAATAAAAAGGAAGAAGGTCTGTTGAATACATGTCTTAAAAAATACTCATTGTGGCAGGAATAGTTAGTTACTTGTTCTCCCATGTCTACCTCCCATTCTCAAAGACCTGTTTTTAACTGAGTATATCAGCATCTAGAAAAAAGATTTTATTTCCTCTCTTCCCTTGCTGCTACATGATGGTCATGTGACTAGCTTTTGCCCAGTGGAAAAGCAGCAGGGTTCTATGTCCTACCTACAGAAAGTGTCCTCAAAAGGGAAAAAAGCTTAGCAGACCTCCCCTCCACCACTACCTCCTTACTGGAGCACAGATGTAATAGCTGGGGGTCTACCAGCCATTTGGCCCATAAAGTGTCCTTAGGAACAGAAGACTGAAAGAAATTGAGTTCCTGTCCCGGTACACCCTATCAACCCTGGGCTAACTACCTCCCCATTGCAGAACGGTAAGAAATAAATTGCTATCTTGTTTGGTTTTTTTAATTAAATGTATTGGGGTGACGCTGGTTAATAGGATCATATTGTAATGTACAAGTATATACTAGTATGATACATTATTTGTATTTTGCATTTTGTGCACAGCACCCAAAGTCAAATCATCTTCCATCACCATAAATATTTGACCCCTTTAACTTTTACTAACCCTCCACTCCCTTCCCTCTAGTAACCACCATAGTGTTGTCTGTGTTTATGAGTTTCAGTTTTATATCCCATATATGAGTGAAACCTACAGTTCTTAGCTTTTTCTGATTTATTTCACTTAACATAACACCCTCAAGGTCCATCCACGTTGTCGCACCTACAGCATTTCATCGTTTCTTATGGCAAAGTAGTATTCCGTAGTATATATTACACACCACATCTTCGTTATCCAACACTCTATCAAAAGATACTTTGGTTGTCTCCATGTCTTGGCCACTGTGAATAACGCTGCAGTGAACATAGGGGTGCATATATCTTTGTGAATAAATGTTTTCAGGTTTTTCGGGTAGGTGACCACAAGAGGAATTGCTGGGTCATAGGGTAACTCTATTCTTAATTTTTTGAGGAATTTCCAGACTGTTTTCCACAGTGGCTGTACTAGTCTATATTCCCACCAGCAGTGACTGAGGGTTCCTTTTTCTCCACAACCTCTCCAACACTTGTGATTACCTGTCTTGATGATAAACAGACATTCCATCAGGTGTGAGGTGATATCTCATCATACTTTTGATTTGCATTTCCCTAATATCCTAGTGAAGTTGAGTATCTTTTCATATATCCTTTGGTGGTCTGTATGTCTTCTTGGGAGAACTGCCTGCTCATATCCTCTGCCCATTGTTCAGTTGGATTGTTTGTTTGGTGTTAAATTGTAGAATTATTTATATATTTTGGATACTAACCCCTTGTTGGAGCCATTGTTTATAAATATCATCTCCATTTGGTTGGCTATTTGTTTTGCTGTCAGTTTATTCTGCTGTGCAGAAGCTTTTTAGTTTGATATAGTCCCATTTATTTATTTTTGCCTTTATTTCTATTGCCTTTAGGGTCCAATTCATAAAATGTTCTCTACAACCAAGGCCCATAGTTTAGTACCTATGTTTTCTTCTATGTAATTTATTGTTTCAGATCTTAGGTCCTAGATTCATTTTGAATTAATTTTTGTACATGGGGACAAACTCCAATCTAGTTTCATTCGTTTGCATGTGGCTTTCCAATTTTACCAGTCCCATTTATTGAAGACGTTTTTGTTCTTCATTATGTGTTTTTGTCTTCTATGTAAAAAATTATTTGCACATTTACATGTGGTTTAATTTCCAGGCTTTCAGTTCTATTCCACTGTTCTTTGTGTCTATTTTTCTGCCAATATAATGTTGCTTTGATTATTGTAGCTCTGTAGTATAATCTGAAGTCAGGTACTGTGATACCTCAGGGTTTGTTGTTATTTCTCAGGGTTGTGCTGGTTATTCAGGGTCTTTTATGGTTCCAGACAAATTTGATGATTTTTTGTTCTAGTTCTTTAAAAATGACATTGGAATTTTGATGGGGATTGCATTTAATCTGTATATTGCATTGGGTAATGTGGCCACTTTAACTATGTTGATTTTTCCAATTCATGAACACAGAATATCTTTCCGTTTCATTTTGTCTTTTAAAATCTCTTTTAATAATGCTTTGTAGTTTTCAGTATATAGGTCCTTCACGTCCTCTGTTCAGGTTATTCCTAGGTATTTTATTCTTTTGGTTGCAATTACAAAAGGAAGTGTTTTTTCATTTCTTTTTCTGAAGTTTCATTGTTAGTATACAGAAAAGAAGTAAATTTTTATACATTAATTTTGTATACTGCTCCTTTACTGTATTTGTTTCTAACGGTATATTGGTGGAGTCCTTAAGAGATTTATTTCAATGTACAGAATTATGTCATCTGTAAAAAGTGATACTTTTACTTCTTCCTTCCCAATTTGGATGCCTTTTATTTCTTTCTCTTGCCTGATTGCTCTGGCTAGGACTTCCATTTCTATGTTAAAATAAGAGTGGTAAAAGTGGACATCCTTGTCTTGTTCCTGATTTTATTGTAAAATCTTTCTATTTTTCACTACTGAGTAGAATACTGGCTGAGGATTTGTCATATATAGCCTTTATAATTTTGAGGTACTTCCCTTCAATAATCATTTTATTGTGTGTTTTACCATAAATGGAAGTTTTATGTTA